AAGGACAGTGGTGGCCCGGGGGGGGGGGACATCGTCACCAAATTATCACTCCGTAGAACCTTTGTTCGAAACCCATCACAACTACCACAACTTAAAAATTGGAAAAATGTATTTTTATTTCCTTTTTATTTATTGAATATACAAATGTACAGCCAACATTCAGGAAGGGGGGCCGCGGCCATACAAGGTCGACCTGGGAAGACGAGCGGCGTTGGAACTGTTCGAACCCGGGACTACCAGGTCACTAATTGGTGACCTAACCACTTGGCCACCCCATATGTGTGTTGTATGGCAGCCCGTTTACTGATCACTTACCCTTGCTGAAAATTGTCATCGTGTATACTTAATAGAAGGAAGTTTAAATGCAGAAAAGCTGAATATGGGTACAGCGTCGAAAGCGAGCATATACGGTTCCAGGGTTTGGTCAATTACTAATCTAGTGCAGTCTTTGGTTGACGCCAATGCTGACCAACTGGNCCTCAACCGAATTTTCTGTCTTAGTTCGCATTCGACTCCGGTAATTAATTTGCCAGTTAACACCATTTCTACCTTGATCTGATATAGTGCCGAATCTTACCTTTCATTTAATTTCCTTTTATTGATTATGCATTGATATATAAGTTTCAGGAAGGGGGAAGCGGTCAATCAAACGGAGGCCACATAACACGGAAGAATGGAGAAAGTCAGGCGGTGGTGGTGCGATTCGAGCACGCATCCTCCCGGCAGATAAGTTGGCGACCTTCTTCCCATTTGACGGTTATTTCTCAAGTTCAGCTGTCCCCTCCAGAGACAGACCAGCTGCAAACATAGCTGGTTAATTTTCTGATACGAAAATCACTACGGTTCGAATCAGATAATTTCATTTCCGGTCTGCTTTGGTTCACAAGTTTCTGTGTATGTCATCAAAAGTGCCGATTATTGTTTGTAATAACTTCAGGAGCAAAGCTATTTGGAGAATATTATTTTCAGATAGAAGGTTAAACGGTCAATTTCCACTCCTGTAATTTATGTTACGGTCTCCTAATGAATTATCTAGTAAAATAGTTACCTTGTGAATTGACTAAACTGCTCAGCTAGCATTTCAGCATCGATCGCTCAATTTTAGTAAGCCAACACCTAGGGAACATGTAGCAAGTAGTCAGAGACTGAAATGGAAAGGTGTTGTGGTATGCAGTATTGACACTAGACAGCCGATGTTAGTCGAGTGGTCTGTTGGTAACTTGTTAGGTTAACGACCCTTTTACAAATTCCAATGATTTAAAACAACGTGATGACATATTTGCCCAAAGTACAGTGCGACTGTATTGAATCAGGTGGATCAGTAGGGAATTACGAAAGCGTCATAATTGCGTTGTCAGAGGATTTTCTTTGAAACGTAAATGCTAATAAATCGAAATAATTCTTCTTTTCATAAAACTAAAACATTTGGATCTCGTAACGAGTTTGAACAGTCAAGTCAGAAAATCGATACTGCGAGATACCAAATACACGTGTGTGAATCAATGACTCAACATGCACTACTGATTCTGACTGCATAATGTATAACGAATTAGGCCATCGGACGCCACTTAATGGACCTCGATCACGAGGTAAACCCTGCGAACGCATCATCGGTTTTGTTACGTTATTGTTATAAATATCGACTAAGGTTACTCGAGGTATTATTGATCATTCGATCACCCGGGGTGGCCCGTTGGTAAGGTCACCAAATTATCACTCCGGAGATGCGTATTCGAATTTCATCATTACCGCCTGACTTTCCTCATTGCGTGTGTTGAACGACAGCACTTAGATTGACCGCTTCCCTCTTCCTGAAAATTACATGTTTGTGTATTCAATAAAAGGAAGTAAAATGAAAAAAAGAAACCCACGTTGTGTCCAAAAGCACGTGACACTCACCCTTGGCTTTCAGTGCCTGTCACCAATCACGTGCAACACGCACACGTTCACAAACACATGCACATATATATGCTAAAACGTAACTACCTTTTTTAGTTCAACTCACTTCCTTAGATTTATGCGTACTCGATCAATCAGAGTATACGAAAGGAATTCCTTTCGCAGTGTTTGTCGTCTGATTTACCTTCATCTTTCATCTTTTTGTTTTACTTCCTTTCATTGAATACACATTATAGTCAAATAAATGAAACTGTTTCACTTTCAATGGATCGAAATGCTACCAGTCGAATACGGGGTTACAACTAGGCAATCTTAGATATGGGACTCTTAATTACTAAACGTTCAGTGCCATATAGTTCAGTGTTGTATGCATGCACTACTCATAACTAGCTACAATTATCCTTACAAAATAATGCTTCGAAACTCCAGTTTTCAAATCCGCAACTGCTACACATTTATCACGTAATTATAATTAAGATTATTCACTCGATTGCGCGTCAAAATGTTTATTGATAGAAAACACGACAACCAAAGCTTACCAAAGATTATATAAACCTTGAGTAAAATCGAAGCTGACTAAATCCTGCAATCAGTCTCTATACCTTTCAACTTCAAGTGAATCCGCCGTAACTTCAAGTGAATCCAACCAATCGCATTCCACTGGGAACCCCACAAGATTATTGGTGTTTCGGCCGTCAAATGTCACCGATTGAATCGGGTCTGTCTAAACCCCTTCCAGTCCGAATGAACTCACTTCCCCGAAAACAAACAAAAGTACTTTTTTAGTGAGTTACCGAGCGAGGAGGAAAGTTTCGGTGGGGTGAGGTGGGCCGTTCTACCCCTCCATCCCCACTCTCGTTCCACCCGGGGACGTTATGTTCGTGATCGTTGATCGAGTGTGCGTCATAGACACTAATGAACGAACCCGGAGTTAATTGACCTCTGTCGGTCGGGTAAGGAAGTGAATCACATCCCCAGCAATGCTTTCCAAACAAGCCATTCTTATCCGTCACCATTTTGGCATGTTGATTTCGGAGCTGCTTTTTGATGTAACTATTCTTAATGCTCCATATCATTTCAATCGGACTCAAAGCTGATCAATGAACGTTTGCAACCATTACAAACACAATTCGGAGTTGTGGGATCCTCTTGTAAGAATATAGTTCAGCAGTCCATCATGGATAACTGGAACTCATTCATATCACCACCTGTCTCATTCACTAAACTATAAATGATCGCGCAGATGTAACCAGTATGTGAAAAGATGCGACGGGTTGATAAGTGATACAATAAAGATAAGAACCTATGCGATGAAGCTGAGTAGCAAAGGGAAAGGCTGTAGATGACGGATTGTTGCCATTAGCATTGTGGATTGATTTTAATTATCAGCTCATGAATAGGTTTAAATTTGATCTTACTATTCAGGTGAAATACTGTTACTTCTTTCACCATTGTTACCATTGTTAATTGTATTATCAAGGTGCATTTCAATGTCAGAAATACGAAAGCCATCGAACTAGATTCAAAGGAATCAGTTTTATTTAAGAAAAGCTCGGCCTCAATGGAATTTACTCATTGGGTTATTGAGGGCTTAAACTGACTCCACGCATGCGATGAATCATGCTCACGTTCACGTCTGGAAATTGTGACCGATTTATCGATCCATCTTGAAGTGATTCACTTCCTTACCCGACCGACAGAGGTCAATTAACTCCGGGTTCGTTCATTAGTGTCTATGACGCACACTCGATCAACGATCACGAACATAACGTCCCCGGGTGGAACGAGAGTGGGGATGGAGGGGTAGAACGGCCCACCTCACCCCACCGAAACTTTCCTCCTCGCTCGGTAACTCACTAAAAAAGTACTTTTGTTTGTTTTCGGGGAAGTGAGTTCATTCGGACTGGAAGGGGTTTAGACAGACCCGATTCAATCGGTGACATTTGACGGCCGAAACACCAATAATCTTGTGGGGTTCCCAGTGGAATGCGATTGGTTGGATTCACTTGAAGTTACGGCGGATTCACTTGAAGTTGAAAAGTTATACAAGCCGAATATTTGCCATGCCGTACTGTGAATGTGCTCTTAGCCGAACAGGCTACTTTGCGTCATCAGAACAGGGCTTAATCGGTGAATGTTCAATGGGTTGCTTCAAAATGGCATGGGAGAGAAATGAATGTAGGAATATATCAGTTGGTGTGTTCTCGGCAGAACGATGATCAATGAACAGGTAGTTTTCCTTCGCCAGCTACCCGCTCGATCGCGTAGCACAAGGGTTCCTTCCCCTTGGACAACTGTTCGTATGCTACATTCACATGCTACACATTTTCCATATCGCAAGCATGTGAAAATTTATCCTCTCAACAAATAACGCGCATTCACAAGCTCACTATTTTTACACTTCATATTAATCCAATCTCATCATAGTTCCAATGCGACTTGAGGGCGAACTGTCATAGTTTAAATTGTGGCTGGAACTGACAATTTCATCAGCTAGCCGGTTGTTCAGAGTGGAGTTATCAGACTGAGAGCAGTGACAGCAGTGCTCCGACTTAGGATTCATGGGATCAGCAAGTCAAGCAAGTAAGTGGTTTGGCAGTGGTTTGGCTTCGACTCTTAACCGAGGTCCCATCACGGATAAACAAATCTTGCACGGCTGGCGAGTTTGAGCTGGGACAACATCGTTATCCAACATCCATCCCTATTCACACAAGCATTTTATCCTACAGACAGTGTTCGGTTCATTGCACTACACACCAATTACACGCTGATAATATGCAATAAAATCCCATAAAACAAATCTTATTGCGTCATAAGTAATCATCAAAAGGTTTCCAAAAAGAACACAAACCTTCAGTGAGGAACAGAGGAAAACAAAGCCAGATACGGGGACTTACACTTTGCGCTCGACTTTCTGCATTCAGCAGCTGTTGCAGATCAAGCAATGACTGGCCGGAAGTGATCGAGTCAAACGCCAATGGTCGATTGCTAATTTTGTCCCGTTCATTTTGAACAGCTAAAATGAACGGAGTAGACAAAATACCAGTATATTTGGAATATGAAGGAAAAAGTGCTGTTTATAAAATTAATCAATCATCTTGATTTCAGCAACTTCGATTGACGGAGGAGCATTCCAGATACAAAACAAGTAAAACAGTTAGGAATGTGCACAAGCCAGGCATGGTTCGAACAATGCGCAAAATGAAACTAAGAACAAAGAAAAAGATGAGTAATCCAGATCACTACCACCACCCTGCGTTCGTAAAGCACGAAACGTTAAACCGTACTCACCCGACTTTTTCATTCCCACCCGGAAACACTTTCGCAGACGGCAGTATCGGCACTGATTCCGTTTGTCCTTGGTCACAATACACTGACGTTTGTGACGACAAGAATACGAATGATTCCGCCGCACAGATCGTCTGAAAAATCCCTTGCAACCGTCACAAGAGAATGCCCCGTAGTGTTTACCTTCCAGTTCAGATGGATGGATAGCAGGTGGAGTGAGACAGAAATTCCAGAGAGAGAGAGACAGACAGAGAAAGACAGAGAGATGAAGGCGGTTTTAAAATTCACTGCCTAAATCAGACAAAGGTGATTCAGTTGAGGATTTGCATTTGATAATCTATTCCGAAGGAACAGTCTAACGCTCTCAGGAACGGTATTCCTCTTGTTTCGAAGTAACTTGGGTTGAAAACAAGGAATCACTGGACAACTGTTCCAATCTGAATCTCATCAGCAATGAGAATTCATCGAATCTGAGACCTCACGGGCATAACGCAATTATGCTATCAAATCTAGACCAGACCAGCGGCCCAGCTTTTCCCAGCTTTTTAGCTCCCGCTTCGTTTGCACGAAAATTCATCATATAATCAAATCAAACTCTCCACTACTGTCATAAAGGATGTAATCAGGTTGTGAAAGTTTCAAACCGAGTCATAATTCTGGAGGCTGGTGCTGAGATGCGCAAGGTGTGATACCCACACTAAGCTCGCAAAGATGGATTGTGCAATATGCTGTAAATTCTTTCTTCAATATCCTCATCATGGACCCACGCGATTAGTTAAACATAACTTATGAACAGGTTAAACATAGAATACGTGAACACTGCTACGTACGCAATCGTCCAGCAATTCCCATTGATTGTTCAATGAGGTGGTACAGTTGTTCACGGCAGGCAGTGACCATTTTGTCCGTGAGCCAGCTTCAGTTAGTTTTAAGCCACCGTTTAATCAATTTATGTATTCTCAGGGTCATTCATTATATCGTTATGCCGGTTCCCATCAGCCCTGTGACTTGTGTGTTCTGATTTCTTGTATTGGGTTACTGGACCCCTAACAATAGTACGCATTAGCGTCGCGATTGGTACTCGGTCTTAAGGAACACTTACAAGAAAATGATACTAACGCATGAAATGAACAGAAAAGGTTTTTGATTTTCATTGACCGTCCATCAAACTTCATCTCCACGCACAATACGCAGTTCATTCGGTTAGCCATGTACTCAGAAACTGTCATAGTTGATTTTCACTTTTACTAGTTTTGACCAGCAGTGTGTATCCTCCAGGTCATTCGGGATTAGAACTTCTTAAGTCGCGTGTCTTTTATATGCAAACCAGATCACACCGTAGCTGATCAGGGTCCTATACCTTTCCAACTCACGTGTTCCAAAAACCTAAGCTAAGGATCTCCAAAAGCAAAGTTGTGTAACTCGCGTAAGATTTCCCGACACTTCACACAGCCTAGATGTACGGCGGTGAAAAATCCACCCGCCTAATATGTGTGGTATCACGGGAAGGCGTATGCGGTGGGACTTAGCGAACGAAATCCAACGCTGATCACGGCATTGCTTACTTTAATTTGAGAGATCACGGCATTTGTTTTGAGAGATGGAAGAGCGCTTCCCTAATGTCTGGTTTAACGGATGAACTTGGGTTTATGCGAGGTGATAAAGTCTGCTCAATGATTAGTCCAAATCGATGACGTTCAACTCACTACTCAACTCACAAGTAACTATGAGATCGAATGGGATAAATATGTCTTCTGTTCAGAGTCGCATCGGTTCAGCTGAGATTAGTTGAACTATGCTCATTTTCCTTCACTATCCGGTGGAATAGGCTTCTGTCAGCCTGAATACCATCTGACATTATTTTTTGGCAATAAAACTATGAAACTGTCTAATTTCTCAGACGAGAGAGAAAACTAACCCTAAACGAAAGCTAACTAAGTTCAAACTTTTGTTATTACTACTTGATGGACTGCGTTCTCTGATCGGAACCTTCATTATGGTTCCCTTCCCCAGTTGAGTGTGATCTATGGGATCTTCGTAAATCCGAAATAGCTGGTATATTACGCAACATTAAGTTTGACTTTGGGATCAATGAACATGATTAGCTAACAACAAAGGTAACAGCAACAACAACAAAAATGGGGACTTCAAAAGTGTTCAGTTAACACAAATGAGGCGGTAACAAGCTGACGTGAATGAGAATAAGTGCTCGGGNGTGCTCGGGTTTCTTGCGTGCGATCGAGTGGTAAAACAGTAAATCTGATCCGTGGAATGTGATAGCACAAACGTGTATCGCTCAAGACGTGGCCGACGGTCAGTGAAAACGGTGACGCAGTTCATTGAGACGATGCATCGAATTAGTGACAGGTAAAAGAGATGAGGGTTGAAAAGAAAATGATATGTGTGTATCAAAGCGCCGTGGTACCGTGGCACAACCGTATGAATCGGAAAGTTTATTAGCGCTACCCAACTCAAACAAATGTACTATATAGATTATTTGTTGACTACAATTGCCAGTATCTATCAATTTTCTTTCAGCAGCATTTCATGCGTGCGTTCGCAATGATGGTTTCGCAGAACGTTCTAAAACGGGAACCACACAGTTGTCATTTCCTTTTTAAATCTGCAAGTGAATTTGGCCATCATTTAGTTCAAAATGATACCATAAGAATCCTATGTGAGCTGAAACACGCACTATATTCTAACAATACACGTCCTCTTCCCCATTGGAATCACACGATTTAGATCATTCTGTAATCTCAGTAGGAATATTGTTGTGTATCGATTTGACTTTCTACTTACAGAAAACTACCATCAAGTTTGACAAAGGCAGTTATTTTTTCAAGCGTCACAATTCACGTGAATTTCTTGACTGGATTGGATGTCACAAACCGGGTAATCGAATCCGGAATGGGTTGGAAGAATTTCAGTTTTCGAAAGTTCGACTTTGAACCTATGACGTCCTTGGTTTCGGCTATTACAATATGATGAAACTGTGAGACAGTTATACACAAATAGAAACGAGCTGTTCACACGCATGTCTCTTGGAAAAATTGCATAGTGCGTTTGACTTACTGAATGAGAATCCAGAGGTTGGTTACAATGCTAACGATTATGAAATAGACAAGCTCACCCTGAATTGCCTAGACCAATGAGAACGTTCTAATCGTAGTTCAATCGTAGTTCCTGCCACAGCTTTGGCTCGCTACTTTGCCTAACGGGCACAGAATCACGGACGCTTAGTTGCTTGACGAACGCTTCTGCCAAATGGCCTTGAACAAACGGCTTAATGTATTCAACTCATAATTCATCCCGATTTAGATGAGTAACCCTTGTTTCACATGTGATCTATTCACCAAACTTACCGGTTGCTCGATCTCCACAAATCAGGCACAGTGAGCTCACCCCGAGACTGACTGGATCCAACGTCTCAGACGGTTCGGTTTTCTCCGGGGTGGGTGACGTGTCGACTTCTATTAGGCTGGAGCTGAGCATTGCGCATGACATCCCTTTCGATGCGGACATACTGGGATCGACTTCTGCCGGTTGTAAATCATACATGTTGATTGCTGAGCTGTGCGGAGATTCATGCGTTTCATGGGTCTCGTGCATAGACTGGGTCGGGGGAAGCATGGCCGACGCATATGTTGATCCCACTGTGTGATGGGATTGAGAATAGTACTGATAACTGGCCGATGTTGCATTGTCTACTAACCCAACTGTCAAATGACTTCCCGTGAGAGGACCGGTGGTCATAGGTTGCAGCTGATAGTCCATGCTTGTCATGGAATGATCGTGGTGATGGGCTGCTGACTGCTCAGATTGGTGCGATTGCTGGTGCTGTTGTTGTTGCGACTGTTGTTGTTGCGATTGTTGTTCACATGCTTCTTCCAACATTGATTTTTCCCGAAAAGATGAGATCGGACTGAATAACTGTGATTCCGTGAAATAGGTCAAACTGGTCGGAATACTGTGCGCATCGAACCGCACCAAACTGTGGGGAAGCTCACCAGCTACAAGACCAAACGGTTGTGCCGAAATCGAGTGCGTCCGTGTGATCAGGAATCAGAATGGAAAATAATAGTAAAGATAGAATCGATGGGAAAATCAAATGTAAAACAGCTTATGGGCTAAAAATGAGTCCTCGAACTTCATGGCACACGTTTTCTTTTACTCATTCACTAAAACTGTCAGAACGGGACCTTTGGTTTGTGATGACTTTACAACAATTCACAATCCCCTCCCCTGGCCCTTGTTCGAGTACCTGCTCGTTCAGTAGTTCAAGGATTTTCTGACTGTTTTTGATTTGAACTTGCTGCTCTGTATTGTATAGCGAGTCTTCGTGTATATCAGATACATGTTTATATATGATGTGATCTATACATATGAATGCTTAACAGTCAACTGTTATCGATTGTTGGATCGGTCTACTCTGAAACATAATCACCTGTCCGCTTTCTCGGATTGTGATCCGACAAAGTTTAAAACCAAAATATGTAAGCTAGAACTTTCCCAAATGTCCTCCTCAAATTGTCTGAACTGGCCTCCACAGATTGAATAACATAGTATCATAACATATTCGAGCTAAGGTGTTTCATTTTCAGCGACAAGAGATTATTAACAGTTATCTAATCGTTGTGCTTGTAATAGGCATTGATTTGAGGAACCAAAATGAAATACACAGAATATTATTGTTGAAATAAATATTTAGTAAACTGAAAAATCATTCACTACTAGAAATATGACGAGAATGTTAAAAATCAAGTGACAAGTAAGCTTCTAATCATAGTTTTTTACTGGAAGAAGACAGCCGAACTAATCCAAGGTGCAAACGGAACAATATACAGCAACAAAAATTCAAAAGAACATCTTGACGGGATACAGTAGAGAAAAGTGTATATCAAATGAACAAGTGATAGCAAAACAATTGTGCCCAATAAGAGGAAAAAAACACCAACGCGAGATTGATCAAGTTCATAGTGAAAGACATCATATTCACTAAGAAAACCGGGAAGAAAAGGGGTGATACTTTCTCAGTAACTGATGGTACGAACAGGGCGAGGTCTAAGTTTGGAAAGAATACGGGAACTGAAATAGAGTCCCAATAGGATAGGCATGCGAATAGCGGTCTTAATTAGACAGTTTATGGCTGGGAAATTTATTAAACGCTTCAAAATGTTTATTCACATTGAAATGTAGGAAGAAATTGCTTGCCCCTAGTACTATGTGATTTCACATTGAGAAAGTGTGGCCGTTGGTTACCATTGCTATTTTGAATGGATACCTTGCTTGTTAGTTCGATTGGTTGTGCTGCCTTTCCTCCCAGTCGGATTTATTTGCTTTACGGTGATTGGTGCATGCTGACCACTTTGAAAACATTGTCCATCACAGTTAATTACCCTCAAGTATATTACACTCAGTATTTTGCCCTTTCTGTTCTCCTTGACCCCTTTACGGATCTCTGCTCGGTTGAAAATACGGAATCCCGGTGACTGACAATCAACGTTTAGTTGCATATTTCCATCCAAGACAACCATGTCCTCATTGGTCAGCACGAGCATCAGGTCGGTTTTTCCCTAAGATGACGAATCTAATGTGTACCTTCGAATCACGCACTCAACGCAATACAAAGTCTGTACGCAGGAATCCCGACTCCATCAAAATGTCGAGGACTCATTAGTTGAAATCAACGAATTTAAATGCACAGAACGCAAGATGTAGAGTGACCATACCCTATCCTCTTGGGGCGGCGAATCTGACGGTCTTTTTGATCATTCCGCCAATAACATCAACTGTTTAGCTACGCAATGTGTTTCGTAGATTTTCATGATCTAAGAACCATCATCATAACAAATTCATTCACACCTCCATTTTGTTCTCAGTCTTACATTCCATCCTTTTTGATGCATCTATCCCGTCTTTTATTTCCCTGTTAGGTGACAGACTCCACATTGTTAATGGTGTCTTTAATCACGCGTCCACTTATCTCATTACCTCTTTCGGTTTAACTGCTGTTCGCCACGATAGCAAATACATTTTTTAGACAAAGTAATTAACGATCACTAGAATCATTTTGCTTTAAAACTCAGCTCATGATGCCCAGATTATACTCCCGTCCCGTTTACATTTACATTACATTTACAAAAAACAACCAAATCACTAATCACCTTCACAATCTCTCCCATGGACACACTTTTCTTCTTAAGCGTTCCACTAATGTTGTTTCTTCATGGTATTCTGTCTGTCCTTGTTTACATAACTCAGCCCGCTAATTCACTAGGACACTCAACAAGATCGTTAACCTATGCTGCTCTTTCGGGAAATCTGTTTGTGAGTAACAGCAGAATAGCATCTTCACTATTAAAATCATACAGAATACAGAAGAAACGAACGTTTAGATCTAAAGATTCAGCATATGTCAAGTGTTGTTCAAACCTGATCAAAGACTTTGTGGGTCGTGCATTGCCTTGCTTCTGTTCTGTTGCAAAAGTAAACGCATAAGGCAAGAAATCAAATTGAAATGTGGGACCAAAGCCGAAACTCTGAACTGTGCAACAGACTTGGGAAAACTAGCTACAGTATTTATTCATCCATCCAACAAGTTTACCACACCATTTGCCCTGTCTGATCCCGTTTAGTTAGAGACTCCTCCAAAAGAGGACAATTTCAAGCTTTTGTGGATCACTGAAACTACGTCTGGGTGTTGGGCCCGATGGCTTTTCTCCTCCCCTCTAGAGATATGGAATCAATTCCCTTCCTAATATATTTACGTCATGCTTAAAGATTTTTTTAAGCACGTGTTTCATCCCAGACTATTGGAGACCGGTAAAAGTGTTCCCATTTCCAAATCCTCTCATTTCACTGTTCTAACAAAAAGCTTCCTTCCCAACTCGATAATTTCTGTTGATTATTGTTGTTTTTGCACACACACAATTTCCCTCTTGATTTCCCGTGTGATCCTTTTCAGTTTACCTAAAAAGGAAATAGGTGTACGCTAGGTGCAGTTTGTTCTCTTGTACATAAAAAAATACTGAAGTCTATAAATGACTGAAAAATCTGTACCTTAGGTATTTCTAGATTACTCATCTGCATTGGATGCTATTCCTTGCTCTCTCCTTATTCGTAAACTTGAGACCTTCGGTTATCTCGAGCAGTTTTTATCCTGGTTAACTGATTGGTTCTCTGGGAGAACTCAGTGCATTACACTAGATCGGATGAAGTTCAAACCATTGATGAACAATTCTGGGGCAGTTCTCTACGTATATCCAAGTTTTATCCTCTTATGCTCCTACTTCTCTCTTTAACTACGCTGACGCTGTACTTTTATGTCAGGCTACACCAATTTTTTTGATCTTTTTGCAACAAATTGATAAATTGGATAACATTCAACAATTTTCTGTGACTTACGGCCTCACTACTAATCTCTCTCTCTCTCTCCAAGTGTTTCGAATGTCTCTCTAGGCTATCGCATTCTTCGATTCCCATCTGTTCCGATATCGATCTGTTCTGAACCGGTATCCCGACTAAGCAGTGTAGATAACTAAGATATTTTATCCACGCTAATCTTAACTGGATCTCTGACTTTGAACATTAAGTTTGACGAAGTTCTTTTAATACACACAAGATTTGTCACTGTTGAAGTTATCAGTCAAGTATTTTCAAATTCAAGTGCTAGTGTGTTTCCTCCGTTTTACTTTATCTTTCACTGCTTTGATGTTAACTAACCGTCATTAAATCGTTCCCCCTACATCCCTCTAACTAATGAGTGAATTTCATTTGAACGCATATGAAAAGTTTACACACGAGATTTTTGTGGATCCCAAACACATCCACAGCACACAGAATTCCTCTCCTTTAGTTTCCCTTGCGTCAACTGGATTCTAATATTTTTCCGTTTCCTCAAGCTTTGACGTAAATAATAACTCTACATTACCCTCTTTAACACTTAACCCTGGTACTAAACAACAGGTTTTCTTAGACATTTTTGAGACCTAACAATTTCTGCTCTACTGCTTACATTTTTGACTGAAATATATGCATTACGCTTAAAAAAGTCATGATTACAAACAATAGAATTAAAGCAGCTCTCGCTTTTCTGACAACCAGCGAATGGCATTATACAATGCAGTATAAAGCACCACGAGTCAGTTATAGCCATATTACGCACAGAGACAAAAAACGCTGACTGATAATCCCTGGGGTTCAGGAGCATTATAGATCGCAGCGAACGAAAGAAAGAATATGCTGGACGTGACCAGTTTTAGAGCACGTCCTCGCAATGTCTGAAAGCGTTAGAAATCAAAATGAAAGATTTACCTGATCCATTTTTGTAGAATGCTTACTTAATTTTTACTTTTCGGAAGGAAGAAGTGGATGGGTAAAGAGCTACCTACGATGAGCAATAGAGAATTTCGGTGGGGTTGGTAGGATTTGAACACACGACCTTAAATGAGACAGGATAGTAACACACAGCCGTTCAGTTTATCGGAGTTCCTGTTGGTGCTGTGATGAGAGAAGAGAAATTATTTTCATTCCTTTTCTTAATCATCTGAATCTGAGTTAAGTGTTTGATACAACGAAGATGAAGGAATGACGATCTACATATTCCAGGTGAAGATCCCAGGCGGAACAGCCGAGTTCACTTGGCGTAACACGTCTGTACCTTGGATCATGTTCGTAATGACTTGCAACGAGGCTCCACTAGAACTATGAATATTAGAAATTTTCTAACTTACCAGGAATGCATTACACCTCGTACGTTGCGAATACGATTGACAATGTAACTGGTGGTGAAATCTGATCAACAAAATCACGGCTTTCTTATGGCAATGTGTAAGACTAAGAAAACCGTTTGCTTCAGCGTTTCAATCACAAAACGTTATCAGTTGGAATAGAACCGAATGACTACAGAGACCACATGGCTCGGCGACATATTTTTGCTTTCTTCCGAAATCGATTTGTTCCTGTTTTACTCTACATAGCGCCAAGTGAGGTCGACACGGTTGCCCGTTTA